AAAACCAGCTCATCTGGTAGTCGCGAAATGCCTACTTTTAGAACAAGAAATAAGTAATGTAGTCAATTTTCATAGCAAATACAACTTTGCTTTACCGACAATCCCATAAAAGAATCTCTTTCGATTCCGGTGAAAACGTACTAAGCTTTCGTCCGTCATATGACAGACATCATCAGAACGAGGTAACATCTTCACAACAAAATTCAAGTAAACGAGTCAAGAAAACTCTCCAACAAATCCCTAAAAAGTTGTATATATACTCTACATCTGGACTCTTTGATCGAACATAAAGTGATTTGGGTTTCCTGCATAAATGAACACAAGCATCCACATACAAATTAAGCGACAGACACACTCACAATCATCGAAGTTGACATATGACCTTAACTAACCAAATCACTTTATACTTGATCAAAGAGACCAGATGTAGAGCATATATACCACATTTAGGGATTTGTCGGTGAGTTTTCTTGACTTGTTAGCTTGACTTTGGTTGTGACGATGATACCTTGCTCTGATGATGTTCGTCATTTGACGGACGAAAGCTTAGCACCTTTTCCCCGGAATCGAAGGATATTGCCTCTGAAACAGCGTCAGCAGTAATCTTCCAGTAAAGCCAATCGACAGCAGGTCAAGAGGAATCCGCCGTCGTCTTCTGGTGGAACCGAACTTCGAATCTCTTCACCCAACACTTCCACTTGAAATGGAAGTAAGCTCAACAATATGGGAATATGGGAAATTTACATTTGCCCTTTTACCCAAGGGTATTGTAGTAAGTGTGGTGTAGTGGTAAAATGTGGAAAACTTATCCTATACTAAAGAAACCGGGCTCGATTTCCAATCTAATCTGTAATGGAATCGTTTTCGGGAGGCAGAGCGAAGTAAATTTCAACGGAATTATGATGCCTACTCATATGATTAGTGGTAAAAGCAACTATTATTCTTTCCTCAATTTATGCGATTTAGGCTAAAAAGAGTTCTTATTCAAGACCAATTGGTACCTTCAAAGGTTTCTTGGTAGAAATTTTACTGATACTCTATCAATCAGCCTCTCAATTCTGGTGGTTGTCTTCAGTGGCATGGGTCTGGGCCAACTCACCTGAGCCTCGAGGTCATCACATCTTGCCCGCAACAACACCTTCTCCTGGCGCTCCCGACGCTGCAAAGAGCCGTCCACCGTGGAAGGACTGGCACCTCGAGAAGTGGCTTCACGTCCCGTCCAACTTGGGCCGGAAGAGGCCTCCAAAGCCGGCCGGCTGACCGGCTGTTCGAGGGCGGCAGACGACCTGTCTCCGGCCGCCGCCTCAGTCTGAGACCGGGCGGCGTGGGCTATCTGGCGAAGGGTTAAGAAGACCTGCCACCACGGCCACTGGATCAGTTCGAGCCAGGCTTCGGCGTTGCGTTGGATACACTCGACAGCGGCGTTTCGGGCCTGGTCGAGAGGTGAATGGAGAAAAACGGG